CAAGCAAAGAGACATAGGGTTGAACCGTCACAATCTGGATTTGACTGTGGATTCCTAGATAAAACCCCAAAACACAGCAGCAAAGTAAGCAATAGACACATTGGACTTCATCAAAACAGAGACTTCTGTGCACCAAGAGCACCATCGTCAGCGTAAAAGGCAGCCCGCAGGACGGGCAAAGCTGTCCCGACGGCGAAGGAGTCACATCCAGAATTATTTTTAAAAGCTCCCAAAACTCAACAACAGAAACAATAAAAACAGAGTCAACAGCAAATAAACCTAGAACTCAACAAATAAACCAACAGTAAAAGCACCTTTATGAACAGGGGACACTGTGTCTCGTGAATGATTTAACACGCAAGGGAGGGTGGCCCCACGCCCGGGGGCAGCGTGCGTCCGAGCCGGGGGCACAGGGCCTGCTCGGGGACGCCCGGGTCCCTGCTCCCAGCTGGGCAAAGCGTCTGAATAGAGGTTTCTCCAAAGACGACGTGTGGATGCCCAGTAAGCACAGGAGACGCTCAGCTCTCAGCTCATTAGGAAACCGCAAACCCCAGCCCCACCGGGGGCCCACTCCCTGCTCGCGGGGACGCTGCAAACAGGAGGCGGCGAGCGCTGGCCAGGGCACCGGGGGAGCCAGGCCTGCCCTGCCGGCGGGAACGCCACGTGGAGCCGCCGCCGTGGGGGTCAGTGTGGCAGCTTTTTGCAAAGGGAAACGTGGCCCGGCCACGGGACCCAGCTGTCCCCCTCCCGGGCACACCCCACGTGCCTGAAGCAGGGGCTCGGGGAGATATCTGCACACCCAGGTTCACAGAGGATCTCTCAGAGGAGCCGAGGGGTAGAATCTACCCCAACGCCCGCTGACGGGTGAATGGATACGGGAAACGCGGAATCTGCACACAGCGGGATGTTACCTTTAAAACGGGGGCAGCCCGGCCGGGCGTGGCTCAGCGGTTGAGCGTCGGCCCAGGATCCAGGCGATCGGGGTTCGATTCCCGGTCGGGGCACAGCCCGGGTTGCGGGCTCGATCCCCAGTCGGGGGCGTGCGGGAGGCAGCCGATCAGTGACTCTCATCACTGATGTTTCTCTCTCTCCCTCTCCCTTCCTCTCTCTGAAATCAATAA